TTCTCGTACAAGATGAATCTTCTCTTTCTAATATATCTTCTTTCATGGAAATTGTTATTTTTTTTAACAGAGAATTACTGCTAAGGATGCACTGATGCTGAGTATTTCTGGACTGATCCCTTGCCATGTGATCCCAAGAGGTATGACTTCCAGGTGCTGTGCTCTGTGGGTTTTTTTTTTTGTTGCCCCCAATTGTTTTCCCCACCTCGATGATATGTTCCCAAAATCTATATGATCTTTATTTAGTCAATTATTGCCAGATTCTTTTCCCCTTAAGCACTCTGTTGTATATTTTCCACTAGTCATTTCCCAGTTAAAATATGCATCACCAATTTTCTCAAGTTACTGGTTCCATGTTTGGCTCAGCTTACCCAAATATGAGTCGTCACACGAGTTTCAGACAAAGAAAAAGCGGCAGCAACAACGACAACATGAAGAAAATGCCAAGCGTCAGAAAATGCAGCACCCTCAGCAACACACTCGTCTTCCCCCATTCAGCAGACAGGGCAACCTCATGCCCAAATGCGGCCAGGTCCTAACCCTATGCATAGCTCACAACCCACAGTTGCTGGAGGCCCTGGCCATCATTACGGGAAGCCTCGAGGCCCCTCTGGTGGGCCAGGAAGATACCCCCCAGGTGGGAACCCTGGTGGAGGATACAACCACCCAAACCGTGGAGGTCAAGGTGGAGGAGGTGGTTATGGCAGTGGGCCATATCCTCCTCAAGGCCGAGGAGCACCGTACGGGTCAAGTGGCATGCCTGGTGCAGGTCCTCGAGGCGGAGGTGGTGGCGGCTATGGAGTTGGAGGCCCTAATTATCCCCAAGGCGGTCCATACAGTGGCTCAGGCGCTGGCCGTGGTTCAAACATGATGGGTGGAAACCGCAACCAGCAGTATGGTTGGCAGCAGTAAAAGCCTATTCTTACAACTGCTGTCAGTGTCATGTCAAGAAGTCAGTAATAGATGATTGAAATATTCACAGTTGGAGTTATGAATTACTGAAGAACTGATATTAGCATTCGATGAGGAGTATATATTAATGAAATCATATTATCATATTACCTGGAAGTTCCTGGAAGCCATGATGATGCAACCATTAATGATCTAGTCAATTATGGAACCTTAACTGCAGAGATAACTTCTCAATAATTTTGTAATTTTCTCTTTCTTTTCTATTTTTTTTTTTCCAAATTTTGTGCCACTGGTTTATGGCAGTATGCTAGGATAATATTTATTGAGGCACTTCGTGTTGTAGAAAGTCCTGTGAGGATACATTTTATTGTCTGAGTCATGAGTTTCCCCAGAGTTATGTTGTCTTGTAATTGAACACGCCACAGTAGGATGCCTTGAGATTAATCTGTCATGTATTTAAATTGGTATTAATTCAGTCTTTATGGTTTCAAAACACAAAATATATTGTTCCTGCTTTAAATGTTATATACCCATCTAATAGAATTTCAGCTATGTGATATTACTTTGTTGACTATTCTCAAATTGATACTAAACCATAGATCGAATTCTTGTGATGTTTTGAAATATTTATTCAACATTTATTTGATTGGATTGTATTTTAACTATGAGGATAATGCATGTTATATTTCGAAGCCATTAGAATTGGGCTAATTAATGTCAAATATAACGCAAGGACCAATTTGTAAATCAGATGAAAGATTGAAAAGTATAACTGTGGCTACCATTGCCGCTAATGCTAGTTCTATTCGTACTCTTTTATTGCCGCCCTTTCTTTTTTCTCTTTTGGGTTGAATGTGTGTACAAATTGATTTGAGTTATAAAAAATTAAATAATTATAGTTGTAAACCTTTAGTAAAACATAAAGTGCTTAATTAAAAAATTTAAGGTATCCAATTGGTAAAATCCAATCATGAATCACAAAAGAAGACATGAAAGACGTAAAAAAAAAAATGTCATCCATCACATCTATGTTAGTCTTCTGTCTGAATCTTTCTAGATGCATTCAAAACATCCTACTTTTTAGATGATTCCTCTAGAATCTAATGGAGGCACATTCTAATAATCTGTTATTTCTAGTTATTTTTCTCTATTTATATTTAAGAGAATTCTTAGAAAAAACATTTTCATGAAACTAAAGGACCTAAAATAAAGAAAATACACATAATTTACACAATCGAAGTAGAGTTTAAATTCTTCCTTCTGCTGTCAATTTCAGAGAAAGATAAATTTGGGCAAAATACGAAAATAAATTTATATGAATATGTGATAGTACTTGAATAAGGAGTACGTACACCTTTATATCTTTATTAAAAAAAGAGTCTAGACAAGAAAAATCCAAATCAGGAAAATTCAACCTTGCACGTATGCAACTGTACGCCTTACATATACTTGGTTGTAAGAAAACCTTTTTTTGACTTGGCCTACAAGAGAAAAGTTACTGTTTTTTTTAAAAAAAAAATAAAGGAGTAAAAACACTAGTGTCAATATTAATTGTACTGCTCAAGAGGATGCTAATTTTTCATGTTCAACAGCCAAAATCATGAAAGAATTAAAATGCTCAAATATTGCTCATATATTCAAGTATTCCCACAAGACAGCTATTAGCCCTTTCCAGTGATTAACAAATCCCGTGATGCATTCTCATGCTGAGGAAAGTAGGCATATTATTCAATAAATACAAAATAGTAATTACCAACCCCCAAAAAAAAAAATAGACAGAACAAAGCACTTGTTGGAGTAAGTTAATATCCTGCCATGCCTTTCTCTGGGCCTGCAAGCACCAAGCTGCCTTTCACGGCTTGTTGGGAGCTCCATTCAAAATAGAGACTTTTGAGTAAGTTCACATAAACCGAAACAAAACTCTCCTCACATGCTTATCTCATATTTCGCAAATCACGTTTGAAAAGCTACTTATAAGTCAATCCAAACAAGCCCTGAATGTATACAAATATCATACAGATATCACTGGGATTTAAATTCCCTGCAGTGCCTATATCACTCAAGTGCAAAAGCTCAAATGACCATATTATTTTCGTTTTTTTTTTTTTTATAGCAAATCTATTCCTTCCCAATGCACTGCACTTGAGCTTAGGGGACATAGGCACTGCAGGGAACCCAAAAGCATTTCTTCTACACAGAGACAACAGAACAAGTGACTCAGACAGACTTTAGATGCCTGATTGCCTTTTGTGGATGACTAGGACTAGAATGCCTGATTGAAAAATTCTCACTGTAAGATTTTGGGGTCCTTGGGGTTGAACTTGAGGAACTGAGAGCTTCCAATGCAGCAAGAACATCCACCATTGGAGGTCTATATCTAGGATCTGAGGTCAAGCATTGCAATGCAAGTGCAGCTGCAGCTTGAGCTCCTTTCTTGGAGTATTGGCCACCCAGCCTTGTATCCATGATCCTCAAAACTCGTCGGTTATCGCTGAGGAAAGGCTTTGCCCAGTCCACCAGAGTTTCTTCTATGGACCCAGGTCTGTCGTCTTCTAATGCTCGTCTACCGGTCAGCAACTCTAGCAAGACAACACCAAAGCTGTAGACATCACTTCTCGAAGTCAAGTGACCTGTTCAGTCAGAACCAAAGTAAAGAAGATGAAGTGATACGCCAATCTAGTTTATAGATTGAGGATATAATCTGGCTGGAAATAGCAAACTGCAAGAAACTGAACCATTAATTGCCTGTCTTAATCAAATGTTGCAGCAAGACTGAGACTCTACCGGTTAGAGAGATCAAAACGAGAGGTGGTTTGATGGCTAAACCACAGACATATGGGACAGTGCGACCAAAGCCACTAATGGAAGACCACTCTTTGTTTACTTTATTGACTATTAACGATATGATCATGGCTGGCTTTATCCGAACTAAATTCTCTCCAAAGTGATTTAAAGGTGCACTTTCATACATGGCTTGGATCATTCAGGACTCCACTCCTAAAACACTCCTCGGACGAATCGAACAAGGCCTCATTAAGCAGGATATCCCTCTCACCATGAAATGGGGCCAAAAACCCAGAGAGAGAGAAAGAGAAGGATAATAACTTTGAGTACATAAAGTTTATAGGATGTGCCCTAATTTTTTCTTCACAGAAAACACCTTATTTCAGTCCTTCTCATGTATGCCAATTAAGAAAATGATTTTCTTAAAGCCAAGTACATGTAAGGCAGGAGATATGAACCTTAGAAATTTGATCAGAAAGGAGCAACTCAGATTCAGCAGAGGTTAACATACCTGTGGCTACATACTCTGGGGCAGCGTAACCTTGAGTTCCAATAACTCTGGTTGAAACATGAGTGTTATCTCCAGTAGGACCATCTCTGGCCAAACCAAAGTCTGAAAGCTTTGGGTTAAAATCCTACACAAAATTCAGTGCAACTCCTTCAGAATGAAACCATGCGCAAACATAAGAAAATTTAGACTTTCCAGTTTCACAAGCCAAACTTTCATAGCACAACATACCGAATCAAGTAGGACGTTAGAAGCCTTTAAATCACGATAGATGACATTTGCATCCAGGCTATGTAAGAATGCTAGTCCTCTAGCAACACCAACCGCAATATTGATCCGGGTCACCCATGATATGGGTTGAACACCTTCTGCCAGAGAGGAAAAATAAAGTTTAGGATAACACGAATAAAATGAAACTCTGGTTCAATTCAATGGCAAATGATTTATGGCTGTTTTGAAAAGTGAAGATAGATAATGATATCACACTAGAAAATTCTGCATCAAGAGAACCGAAAGGCTTCATGTGACGTCAACCTTGAGACCTTTTTTCCTTTCAGCCTAATCCTTGGACAAATTTGAACATCATTCTCATGATATTACTGTTGGAGTAGCACTTTTTTACCGGATCCATTGCCTTTTTAATGATCAAAATGCGCATAGCATTGTGCTTTATTTGAAAAGGGACACAAAAAGAGATCTCATTGGGAGATTCTCCCAAAACAAAAGTTTTCAAGTGCATCAAACAGCAAATATTCTTAAAATATGCACTGTCATGAAATGCGTTTAATTTTGGAAAAAATAAAGGAAAATATGGGAGGGCAATATGCTCAGTTATTGCACTTACTTCTAAATAAATGATTCTCCAAGCTTCCTTTTTGCATGAACTCATAAACTAGAAGCCTATTTCTATCCTCTGAACAATAACCAATAAGTTTCACCAGATTTTCGTGGTGAAGCTGCCCTAGATAATTGACTTCAGCCTGCCAAGAAGAAGGGCAGGAAATCAGTCAATACCTAGAAGGACCAACAATTAAAAAAAACATCTTAATTCAAAGGTTCTTATTGTACATACAAGCCACTCCTTGTGGCCTTGAAAGCTTTCTGGCTTGAGCTGCTTAATGGCCACTACCATTCCACTCCCTGGTTTCGTGGGAGCAAAGGTGTTGCTGTTAATCCATCCCTTGAAGACACGTCCAAAACCTCCCTCTCCAATAAAATTTTCTTCACGGAAGTTCTTGGTGGCTTCTTTTAGATCATTGAAGCTAAATGAATTGAGACTATCGGAAATGGGTCTGACAGGATTTGACACTGAACTTTGCAAAGCAGCTTTTTGTTCTGAAGAATTGTGATTCTGTTGTGTCTTACTAGACTTTGTACTTCCTGAGAGCAAATGAGGCACAAGTTACAAGAAGCTAGATGAATAACTTCTTATGCAATAAACCGCACATCTCTATAACATTTAACTTCAACAAATTGAATTTACGATGCCAAAAGAGAGCTTAATAAGCACAACATCTAACCAAACAGAGCCTATATTAAACTTTCTTCAAACATGATACTTCACAAGAAGATTAATAGTCATGCAGAGAATGACTGAGTATTCCAAACCCAATCCAAGTACTAAAGCCCTGAAGTTTAACAGGTGAACCAGAATGCCAAACTCAATGCAAATACAGGTGATATTTGCTTTTCAATTTAAATAATCAAGACATAAATTAATTCTGGGTAGTCAAATGCATATATAGGTAATGAAACAGCTGGAACATGGCCATAGTGCTATAAACGTTATGGTGCTTCTAAGTTGTTAAGTTAAAATCAGATATGTGCCAAATTGTGGATAAGTAGAAAGCAAACAAAAAGCTTTCACAATCCGCAATAAATGTTAACGTACAAGTGTTAGCTTTTTTGTCTAGATTTCAAATTCTTTAAACGCATTATGCATAATAAACCTTTGTATGCATTTACATACATATTAAGACTGATACAAAATTCGGTAGTCTAACAGAGAGGAGAACCAATGCTTATAGTTTTTACCAACTAGTTTAGAAAGTAATCTAGATACATGAAAATCAAAGAAATGTTAACCAATTTCAAATAACATATCCCATTTAAAATGCAAATTACAACCTGAATCACGGCAAAGAAGCTTAAGGATACTTCTATTGCTGACACTAAGTTTTGACAATCACAAAATTGGAGGTTTATAAACAAGTGATCCAAGAGACCAGAATCCAATTTCCTTGCAAACCCAGAAAGCTATTTATCAGAGGTTAAGTGAGTGAAAAAAGAGTCCATTTAAGAACATCGCAGGCCATAACTTTAGAATTGGAAGAATCAAAAATAAGGGAAATATTTATGAATCTCCAGTACTGTTGAAAAAATGGACACTACTCCATTCAAATTTTGACAGGCAAGCAATCCAAGCCTAATATATAGCTTCCAATTCAATGTAAGATGTAAAACTAAACCACATGGACCCATAGAAAAGGCAGTAGAACCCCAAATAGGAAACTCAATCAAAATTTGAGCAAGTTTATCACCAGCATCAACCTAACAAACTGATCACTGTTCTATAAGAGCATATTATATCACGCCAATGAAGAAGGAGGCGAGCATATATGGATATTGAAGAAACAGAAGAGAAAATTGACCAGAAAAATTGGAGGAATTAACATGAGCAACTGGCTTCACGCAGGAGTTGCCCATGTTGAAAGGGTCTTCAACTCCTCCTTCTCCTTGGTATTTAGACCAAACCAACGAAACCCAATGAGGAAAATCGGAGAAGGAAGCCAAAGATGAAAGAAACAAGTCTCTAAATGAGATTGAGAAGTGTTGATGTGAGCAAGAAAATGAGGCGAAATTGTCCGCAACAGGGCCATAAATATTGCACCGAAGTCGCTCACTGAAGAGGAAGCGTGGCCGGTGCGGGGAAAGTTCAAGCCGTTGAATGAAAATAATAATAATAATAATAATTTAGTCGCCTCTCTCTTTTGATCCTCAAAGTTCCAGTAATACCGGCCAAACTCATTACCACGTTTGGATTGAAGAAAATGAAGCAAGAGATAAAAAGAGTACAAATGGTTGATTCTTTGCCTATCAATACAAACATGGCATCGATAAAAGAAGGGAAAAAAAATTGAGATGGGTCCTACCTGAGCGTGATTAATAGAAATTGTGGAAAGAGACTCCATTGCCATCTTCAACCCAGTGACGTGGGGCAATGAAAAATCAAAGCTTGCTTAGAGATTAGGAATATTGTTTTTGTCTGCTTTTGATAATTGAGATTTGAGAATCAGTGAACTATGCTGGAGGCGGCGGCTGCAAAAGCTTTCAAGGGGATTTCGAGTTTCCGCCCTCCTTCCGGGCAACCAACAAAGCTTATCTCTCTCAATAGTTTTCAAGTTTGAACTTTGAAGCTCCTCAGTCCTCACGTGCGAGTAAAATTCTGATGGTTAAACAAAATACAGCAAGATTTTTTTCCTGGAAAAATTATTATTCTGAAAAAAAAAATCAAAAGTTTTTAACTTCAACGCATTTCTAAAAAATATTCTATCACTCATAAATCCCGAAATTAGTGATAAAGATAATTCGGTTATCGCGATAATAATTTCTTATTTTGGTTTTTCAACATGATTTTTCTGTTTTTCCCCCTTTTTTTTCCCTCAGCCAACTTCTTTTTCCTTCTTAGAATTCATTCTCATCTTGCCCACTTTAGGGGCAATGAAGTCTTGATAAACCTTGAGAACTAAAAATGATAGAGTATAAAAGTACTAACCGCATGATTCAATTAACAAGAGAGATATACACGTTTTTAATCAGATGCCTCAAAGTTTGAATATGAGAATGCAGTCATATTTTTTCTTATTTTATACTCTTCGGGTTTTTAATATAAAACATATTTAACTAATTTGATGAGATTAAAGAAGTTAGGTAAGTTAGTTAGTTACAAAAAATATGATGGATTTTTTTCTAAAATACCATAATCATCTTCCTTAATATTCTCTCTCCTTCTTCTATTTGATTATGGTTGAAGGAGTATTCATAGAAGTAATTTAGAAAAAACTGATAAATACGAAAAATAGGTCTTATATTTAAGACCAAAGTCAACTCAATAATTAGGTCGTATATTAAAAATAGGAGGAGTATAATTTAAACATACACATATAATGTGAACATCATACTCGAATTTGAAGCCGCGTCTAATAAGCATGATGAGATGTATTATCATTGGGATGTAATTAGCGATTCACGTGATCAAATCATATTAAATACTACCGATTATTAATATAAGATCTTATTTGAATTTTATTTTAATCCTAATTATAAAACTTCAATCCACTTTTTCTTTCATATTTATATATTTTTTTCCAAGGTAATTCTTCTAATAATAGTAGTTCTAATTAATACATTTGATTAGTAAGAATATTTTAGGAAAGATAATACTTATTTATTAAAAATAATTAATTTAACTTATTTCCTTAATCTTCTCAAATTAGTCAACTAGTTCTTATAACTAGAACCAAAAATAGTATTTATTAAAAAAAATAAAAATGAAATAAAATATAGACGCACGGCCTAGCCCTGTCTGGACTTGCCAACGCCGCCATAAGCCCATAATAAGATTAATTAAAAATTTTGTTTAATCATCTCTTTTCTTTCGTCAATCCTACCACGACCAATATTAAGATATACCTTTTGCTTACTCTCAATCTTCTACATTATTTTATTTGGCAAAACAATTTCAAAAATTATTTCCACATGGCTCATAATATATATATATATATATGATGTGGTTGATCTGCTGTTGAGTTGGATATAAAATTTTATGTGTTGAGTTTTCATTTATAATGCAAAGCGTCAACAACAAAAAAATACACACAAAAAAAATTATTAAAATAAAATAAATTAATGAAAAGACCAACATTATTGTGTGGAATCTTTTCATAGCGTATAATGTAAATTTAAGACTTCGCAAGGCAGAAATTCTTGCCACTGAGACAATTGGTCATTGATATTTTGTGGACTTGACTTCTATTCACAATGGAATAGACCTCTTCACATTCTATGTCTTGACTGATTCTAGCTTCATCACTCTTTTTCCCCAATCCAGCCCATTATTATTATCAGCTTGGATGCATATTAAATTGGGAAGACAAAGTCAGTTTACATAGCTTGGATAGATTTATTTATAGTCATCCTGCTACTCACCATCAAAGCCTCATCTGCTAACTATCTGTCAAGCTTAACAAGTACTACATCTAGTCTTTAATATAATGATTAACTAATTAATTTAGAGATATTAAGAAAGTTATTAAATTACTTAATTATAACATATACGAGATAATCTCTTTAAAATACTTATATGTATCATTAGATTATATATTAATTTATAAGAGTGATAAATTAGCTAGTTTGGAGGAAAACAATAAATATGAATATTTTAAGATAATTTAGTAACTTTTTTTAATATTTATAAATAAATCAATTGAGTCTTATATTAAGCGCGAGAGTTGATATACCAACCTCACAACATATCATGTGTCTAAATTTCTTGAGTCAATAATGCATACTTCCCAATTCGAGTCACAATAACAATCAAATTTTGCTATGATGATCCTTATAATTTGAAATTTTAAAATTCTGTCACTATAATTCTAAACCATTTTAAGATAAGTCCCTTTGATTTTCCAACATTGACAAGTTACTCCATGATTGGAGAAGTATCTATATTTTGTGTCAAGAGATTAATCCTTTTCACTAAATGAAAAAATTCTCCTGTCAAAGAAAAGAATTAATCCACATTGAGTCAATATCGCCAAACATTTTTTTTAAATTCTTTGGAATTTGACATGGCTAATAAGCAACAACATAATAACAATATGCTCAAAATTGATAAGAAAAAGTTAAAATAAATTGATCAAGAGCCAACATTTAATAGTAGTGTGGAATTGGACCATCCCCCACATCGGCTAGACTTTCAATTTCCCTGCTTAGACTAATTCTTCATTTCTTTTCTATTGTCAATATCAATTACTACGGTGTTTAAATAAAAACCAAACCATAATTTTAAAAGTAATTTTACAGTACACAAAGTAAGTATGACCTTCGGTCCTAATTATAAGAACTAGTTGACTAATTTGAGAAGATTAAGAAAGTAAGTTGAGATAGTTATTTGTTCTAAATAAGTGTTGTCATTCCTAAAATATTTTTACTAATCAAGTGTATTGGTTAGAACTATTATTGTTAGAAAGACTACTTTAAAAAATATATATATAAATATGAGAAACAAAGTGGATTGAGATCTTATATTTAAGATCAAAATAAAAGTCAAACAAGGTCTTATATTAAGTATGAGAAAAATTTTATCCTGACTTGTCCGAAAATATTTTTTTTATTTTAAAAAAATTTTAGGGTGTCCTCTCAAGAAAATGAAACAATATAATAAATTTTATTTTATATTTGGATCGATTAGATATTATAATTTCCTTAAATTATATCCTATTTAAAATTCTTGACATGAACTTGAAAACAAATGCATTTATCCAATTTTTATGGCAAAATATGCCAATCATAAGTTATAGATAATCTAATCTGTTTTAGACTTATATCTAATTGTGTAAAACATATGAAACTATATTTTAACAACCAAACGAATATTCTCTTATATTTATTTATATGGAGTCTCAAGCAAATTGCATAATGTTTTGACTCTAATGAATAAGGTAGGTATACCTTTTTTTTTTTTTTTGACCAAGAATAAGGTAGGTATACCTTAAATAATGCTACTTCTAGTCTTAAATATAATACGCTTCCTTAGTAATTAAATGCTTTTTTAAATAAATAAATAAAAAGATACCGCTTTCATTAGATAAAGAATGGGGGGGAAAATTTAAATGTATAATAAGAGATGCCAATCATCAATTAGGGGAAGATTTAACAGTAATAAACTCTGTGATAGTTTAACTAATTTTATTAGGATGAGATGAGATTGTATATTTAACCGAAGATCATAGATTTCATTTTGATATTTTACGTTACAATCATTAATTGTTTTGAATGACTCCTCTAGTCCTATTTTATAAGACAGAGAGAAATTTTTTTTTAATTTTATTTATAAATCATTTCATTAAATTTTTAGTATAAATATGCTATTTTGTTATTTATTTATTATAGTGTACATAGTTTTTTTAAAAGGTGTGCATGTTAAATAGAGATAATGTTAAAAAGTTATTATATTTTAATGAAAAGTTAATACAGTTTAAATTTTTTCTTAATATGAGTAAAATATACTAAAAATGTTTTATAAATAAGACTTCAAAAGTATTTTAAAGAGTATTACATCTCATTGACTTTTTCATTTTCTTATGACTAATGCGTGTCTCAATGTTGTCTAAATTAGGACAACCAAATGAGTTGAATTCATATTTTTCAAACACCATTATTATTGGATGGGACAAGACTTAGATGAAACTAGAAATTTCTCTGCCGTGTGATGCACGGACTAAAATATTTAATTAATTTTAAATTCTAATAAATTGTATTATTTAAGATAACTCAAGATTTATTTTTTATAGAAGTGTGTTTTTTTTTTATTTCTTCAGATTGTATTTGAATTAAAGATGTGAAATTTAGGGGAAATATATGAAAATTTAAAATTATTTATTTATCTCTCCATTTAAACCCCAATTGACATATTATTTTATGATACTTCTCATTTAATTTAATATATTCAAATCCCAATTAAAATATTATTAAAATTCAAAATTAATTATTAATTTCTTCATTTGAGCCTCCATTAAAATCTCATTTAATAATGATACTTCTCATTTAATTCAATATACCCAAATCCCAATCAAAATATTATTCAGATTTTATTATTAATTGAATATATTCAGATCTTATAATATCATACCCGACCCGTTTTAAACGAATCGGGTATTACAAGTTTTTAAGA